GCAGTACTAGATTGGCGGAAAGGTCTCAACTTTTTACAGTTGAAATGCTTAAATGCGTCCGTAAGTTCTATGCTAACACTTTCTTCTATCGAGCTTCTCACTTGTGGAAATCTCTTTCGGCTTCTTGATTCCTAGACAACTCGGATCTTCGAAAAATTTAAATGCAATGTCAATCTCTGATTACTGTCTTCTTAATTCTTGTTCTTTTATTGTTCTCTATCCTTAAAAGTTTTTTTCTTATAGTCTCTAACACTCAGTGACCCCAAGCGTCTTAGTGGCTTTATTACCTCGCTTGGGGTGAAATCATTAAAAAAAAAAAAACAAAAAAAACAAATTACAAAAACACCGGGATTTTAAAAGTCTTTGAAGGTTTTAATAAAATATATATATATATATATATATATATATATATATATATATATATATATATATATATATATATAACAATGAATCATTCATACAAAAAAAGTAGATTAATAAAGTTAATGATATAAAATGTCGAAATCCCATCGCTAACAAAATTTTAAAGGTGCATTAACATACAAATCACTCGATGAATGTTATGATCCATGTTTTGAAAAATTATAAGCTGTATAAGGTCTTTCTTTAATACCCAAGTACTTTCAACTGTATATTCAGTCATCTTCAGGCATGGAAATTATTTTGTTTTTGGTAAAATTCAGTTAGCATCCGAGACGAAAAGATATAATGCGAATCGAAATATGTATTTTTTACTTTTTTCTTTTTTTTTTAAATGTGTTATTCTTAACGGATAAAACTTGTGTAGAGCGTTCAGTCGTAACGCTAATTTTGAATTTTTTTAAAAAGTTGAAGAGAGTGCGCTTTTTACTAATATGGCAATTTGAGAATTTTTTGAATTTATGAGTATACTAATCTATTTTTGTATGATTCATTGTAATAGAAATTGAACTGCACCACATATTTGATATATATATATATATATATATATATATATATATATATATATATATATATATATACTATAACAGCAAAATTGTCAAAATCGTGTAACAGCATAATTATCCATCTCATAAAATTTCTAATATATATATATATATATATATACTATGTGTAACAGCATAAAATGTCTAATATATATATATATATATATATATATATATATATATATATATATATATATATAACAGCAAAATTGTCAGAATCATTATGTAAGACCATAATTATCCATCTAATAAAATGTCTAATATGAAAAAGCAAAAAAAAAAAAAACAAAAAAAGACACTAAATTAATTGAGTTTCTTTTTTTTTAGGTTTTCAGATAAGACGTTTACCCATCTTGAAACCATTTGTCGTAAGAATCATTGAAAAACCCTTTGAGTTATTCAGCTAAAAAAGAGTACAGGATAAATCGTTTTGTGTCAGCCCCTCATTATGTCTTCCTAACTGAGCGATGGGGAGACGAAAAATATCATTCAAAGCTTCAGTAATGGTATCAACATTCATACTCTGGCTTCTATCCTCAAAGGCCATTCAAGAAAGATCAAGAGAACGGTGAATAAGTTTAAGAAATAGGGAGCAGTAGAGAGGAAAACTGGATCAGGAAGTCTCAACAGCAGTAGGGATGCTCATTTCAACTTAGAGCTAAAGAGATCAATTAGAAAAGATCCAACTCAATTCATAAGGCATTTGGCACGTTTGAGAGGAGATTCAACTATGACAGACTAAAAAGCAATGAAAAAAAACTTGAAAATGAAACATGTGAAGCAACTTTTTACTTCAGGAAAGAAAGTTAGAAGGTTAGAGAGGGCGAGGATCATCTTGAATAAGTTGGAAAATGATCCTGGAATATATATATATGTAGCTAGATATTTGAACTTTATTTCAATGCTTCATGAGCTTCTGATCCTTAGCTATGATTCATTAATGATGAATATTTATGATCGATTTCATCACGTTTCTTCTTTTCAGCTTGGAGAGTAATTATACATTATTATTGCTCAAAGTAGAGTCCAATAGTGTTATAAAAACCTCGGAGAATTCCATTAAAGATATCTTTAATCATTTCTAAGATACAACGGTTCATTTACTGTTACACGATTTGGTCAATTTTGCTTTTTACACCAGTGTAATATATATATATATATATATATATATATATATATATATATATATATATATATATATATATATATATATATATATTTTATTTATTAAAGACATTTTATATTTAACGTTCTTTTTATAGATACAAGTATTTAAGTAAATTCTGTTTATAATAAACAGTATTAAATATTTCTTGGACATTCAGACCGGTAAATGTTATTTAATACTGTTTATTATAAAACAGAGCATTTACTTAAATAATCTATAAAAAGAACGTTAAACATAAAATGTACCATTATATATATATATATATATATATATATATATATATATATATATATATATTCAATAAATCAATCAGTGATCGTTGATTGATTCTGGAGTATGTCAATGTGATAAGACCAGTGAAATTTTATTGAACTTTTGAATATTATAGCGCGAGTTATTTAATAAACACTTTTTTTTAGTGAAAGTTCTGCTGCCCTAAGATTACTTATTACCTCTTTGTAACCTACCAGAATGACTTGTTAAACATTGTCACACGACATCCGTACATGAAGGGCACTTTTTATTTAATAAGCATAGCATAGTTTAGGCAGGAGACTACAACTGTAGACATCCAATAAAGATCACTACTCACTACAAACAACCTTACTCGTTACCAATTGCCCCGAGATGCCCATTCATGAAGGGCAGTTTTCTTCTTCTTCTTCTTCTTCTTCTTCTTCTTCTTCTTCTTCTTCTTCTTCAATGTGCTATGTCTCTTCAGGACATTGGCGATGATGGCTCTCCAAAATTTCTTGTCCTTTGTAACTCAATAAATTTCGTTTTTTTTTGTTATTTCTCCTAAACCTTGTTCCGCTATCATTTCACTCAATCTCACTAAGTATGTTATGCGTTGTTTTTCTCTATCTATCTTGCCTTCAGTCCGTCCTGTGAGTATCAGATTTTCCAAGCCTTCTTTCCTTATTATGTGCCCTAGAAAGTTCACCTGCCTCTTCCTGATCTTAACTATGTCTTTCCTTTTTTGCTTCTATTTCCTCGTCGTTGCTTACGTATTTGGTGCATAGCAACCTCAGCATCCTTCTGTAGAACAATATTTCTGTTGTCTCAAGTCTCTTCTTCATCTTTGAAGAGATTCTCCAGAATTCACTGCTGTATAGGAGGACTGATATTATATAACATTTAAGTACTTTTCTATTGTTTCCACTTTTCTTTTTGTTATTTCTCTTAAACCTTGTTCCGCCATCCATTTACTCAACTAAGTATGTTATGTGTTGTTTTTCTCTGTCTATCTTGCCTTCAGTCCGCCCTGTGAGTGTCAGATTTTCCAAGCCCTCTTTCCTTATTATGCGCCCTAGAAGGTTCAATTGTCTCTTCCTGATCTTAACTATGAATTTCCTTTTTGTTTCTATTTCCTCTAAAACTTCGTCGTTGCTTACACATTCGGTGCATAGAATGCTCAGAACCCTTCTGTAGAACCATATTTCTGTTGTCTCAAATTTCTTCTTAATCTTTGAGGAGATTCTCCAGAATTCACTGCTGTATAGGAGGACTGATATTATATAAAATTTAAGTACTTTTCTATTGTTTCCACTTTTCTTTTTGTTATTTCTCCTAAACCTTGTTCCCTATTCATTCACTCAAGCTCATATGTTGTTTTCTTCTGTCCCTCTTGCCCTCAATCTTTCCTGTGAGTATCAAATTTTCCAAGCCCTCCTTCCTCATTATGCGCCCTAGAAAATTCAACTGTCTCTTCCTGATGTCCTTTTTTGTTTCCATTTTCTCTAAAACTTTGTTGTTGCTCACATGTTCGATCCATAGTATTCTCAGCATCCTTCTGTAGAACCACATTTCTGTTGCTTCAAGGCTTCACTTCATCTGTGAGGAGATTTTCCAGCATTGATTGCCATATAAGAGGACTAATATCATATAACAATTCAGTACTCCTTTCTCTTTTGTACTCATTTGTTTCGAATGAAATCTCTCGGTGTAGCATAATTTGAGTAGGGGGCCGCAAGTATGGCGCCCCCAATGAGGATCGAGCACCCAAATAGAAAGAGGAGGTGAAAGAAAAAATTATCAATTAAGTGAATTTGCGAAGTTTTTTTTTTTTAACAATTCACTCCAAGCAAGGCGATAGTGCCACTAAGACGCTACTGCGAGTAAAAGAAGACTTCAGAAGGAACCTGAAACCCATTTCTAAACAGGAAACAAGATACAAACCTCTACTCCCGTTCCAAACAACGGGGAGGTGTGTGAACTGGGTGATAGGCGAACCTATCTACTCCTATTGAGAAAAAAAATTAGTAAATAAAATTTTAGAGCTTACGCAGAGATGTTAGAAGCATAGAGTTGAAGTAGACTTTAGAAGGAACAGGAAGTCCAATCCTAAACCGGAAACAAGGGATAAACCACTCCCTGTGTTCAAAAAATCTGGGAGTAGTATGAAACGGGCGATAGACGACGAAATATATTTTTATTGAGAAAAAATAGTTAATAAAATTTCAGAGGTTAGGCGGAGATGTTAGAAGCATAAGGTTGAAGCAAAGTTTAGAGGGAATCGGAAAACCTATCCCAAACAGGAAACAAGAGATAAAGATCTCGCCCTGTTCAAAAGACCCGAGAGGAGTGGGAACCGGGCGACAGTCGAATCTATCTATTCCTCTTAAGAAGGCTGGAAATGTTTCAGGGACGGTTATTGAACTCCAAGTGTAAGCGAGGATTTCGAATATTTAATATTTAAGGTAGGTAGCTATTTCGTCTTTTCTTAGAACATTGGCGTTGCATAATCTTCTCACCTATTAGCCTTACACTTATCGGTTTTGTGTTCAAATAAGGTAAGCTTAGTATAAATAGCTCCCCCGCCAAAAAAAAAAAAAATGAAAATGACAAAAAAAAAAAAAAAAAAATACTGAGGAAAATGAAAGACAGCTTCAGAAAAAAAACAAACCGGAAGAGGAAGTGCCGAAAAGAGAATAAAATTAGGGGGAAAAAAAAGGAAAAGAAGGAAAATAAGAGATAAGAGTAAATGAAATAAACGCTGAAAAAAAACAAACAAAACAAAAACAAAAACAAACAAACACATAATCAGTTGTAACGGCGTACACTGTGGTTATATGTCAGATACGATTATCGTATATTGGATTATTAAAATGGTCCCAACCTCGATTCGGTTAACAGACTTATCAACGACTTTATCTCTTTAGTAGTGGAGTCTCGCAGACGGATTAGGAACGCACAAAAGGTTTAGGCAAAAACGGGAATGGCTCCAGAGTATTTATTCAATTCCGTTAGCTGACGGGCTGATTGGCAGACGGCTGGTAAACAGAAAATAAACAAATAAAATAAAGGGATAAAATTGTAGTTGGTGGGGGGTGGGAGGAAGGGAAGAAAAAAAAAGGAGCGTGGTTGGAGAAGAAACACTCTTGCTGAAAAACGAAACAAAGTCAATCCATAAAAGGTCCCTGAACAACAACAACAACAACAGCAACAACAATAACAACGAACAAATCAAGGAACGGATGACGAACGAGATAAATTAAATGGAAAACCCTGACAGTTTAGCTCGTTCTTCGTCTGTGCGCGTCGCACGTGTGCGTACTGGGAGTTGGGCCGAATTGGAACGGACACAGAGAAACGCTGCCCGTTCCCATGACAGTCATATTTTTGAATCCTGATAAAAACGAGCTTTCGAATGCCGAATTTCGTGGCCGGCACATAGGTTATAGGACGGGGATTGTGTTTGGGTATGGCCGTTTGTAATACTGGTTTTCTGAAAAGCCTCGCTTTTTTGGAGACGGCCTTGGAATTCGAAACAATCCTAGAAAATTAGATAATGATAATAATAATAATAACAATAATAATAATAATAATAAAAAAAATGGTTGACGTATAATAATAATAAACAAAATGGTTGACGTATACTATAGTATTGAAAATTCCCTCAGAATTAGCATGGGATAAACTTGACAAAAGAGTGGAAAAAATATAAAAAAAGAGTTCTTAGAGTCATTGAAAAAAGAATGGAATCAATTATCAAACTTATACTTTGAGAAACTTTTGCAACTGTTATATCTCGCGCAAGATATAATAAACAAAGTAACCCGAGTGTTGGTTTTCAATAATAGGTTTATAATCGGAGGTAGGTGTGTCAAGTACAGAGTCGGGAGTATGCTAACCTCAATAGGTGTTAACAAACGAAGACCTTTTTTACTGTCCGCTGTGGTCGTACTTAATCGGCAACCAGTCCATCCATTATCGTGAATGGGGAAGTTGGGTTATATCATCACAACAGCAACGAATATCAAAAACTTGTGCTGCAGTAATCAAAGCTAAAGGAGGATATTTTGACGAGAGCAAAATTTAATCATAAAATGTTTTTGTCATAATATTTCTAATAAAAAATCATGTATCACTTTTTTTTTTAACCATGTATAATAATTTTCGCTTATTTAAAATACGAAGCAACTACTTTTGGGGCCAATTTAAAAACTTACCTGGGGTAGCCTCAAACTTTTGAACTGTAGTCTAAGTCTTCCAATATTTTGAAACATTAAGAGAAGAAAATAAAAATAAAAGACACAATGCTTAGCCATATTTAACAATATTTCGAAATATTCTTAAACATTGTTAAACACTGTTTTTTCTTCTCTTTTCTTTTCTTAAACCGTGCTCTTCTGTCAGTAGAATAATAATAATAATAATAATAATAATAATAATAACTTTTTTCCTTTTCGGCATACTGTATCTCTGTCGATATTTGTATATGTGAATGTATATATATATATATATATGTATGTGTATATATATATGTATGTCTGTCTATATTTCTGAGATGAGGTATTATGTACATTATTTACATTATTCGGACTATTGTCCTCATCTTTGTCGCTATATTTATCACAACGTTTCGGCCGTTGTACGCTCCGGCCTTCATCAGGTGGTTGGAATGTCGAACTGAACACTTTATTTCGCTCACTGGGGTAGACTGTTCTAGTTCCACGTGCCATGTTTGATGGATGTCAATTATCAGACGTCCTTGAGAACACACGGCACAGTGGTTAAAGGCGTTGGTTAGATCCAGTGACAGGACCCAAACAGTGTGAGTTCAATACCCGGTTAAGGCAGTAGAGAACTTTCAGAGAGAAATTAACAGGAGATAACTGATAACTGACATCCATCAAACATGGCAATATCTCATGGGCAGGACGAGCTCTCTGGTCTTGTTCGACTGTCGTCCTAGAGCTGGTAACTTGAACAAAATTAACCCTTGGCAGGTAAGGATAAAACGCAAAAATGTTACGAATCTCAATGATTACGAACAAATTTTCTTACCGGATAGGCTGTCATCCGGGTCAACAAGGGTCGGATACCTCAGAGAGGAACCAGTCTGTGTCTGTGAAAAATCTGTCACTGGAACAAACTCTTCCAAAAACGAAGAGACACTTGGTCACCAAACCCGGACTATTCCCAACCTTGAACCAAGTGACTCAATACAAAATCAAAAAAAAAAAAAAAAAAAGAAACAAACGAAATGGTCTCTTGAAAAGTATCAACAAGTCATTATATCATTCTTCACCGCACTCGAAAATCCAGCAAAGAACATACCAAATATGGAGAACTATGGTAGAAAGTGATATAAGACCTCATGTTGTCAATGTCCGCAGGGATATCGTGCGAAACAAAAGCCTCTCAAATGCAGAAATAGGTAAGATAAATTTAGATAAAAGACAAAATACTATAACCCATAATTATATTTATGCTCTACTTTTGTATCGAGCACTATTTTTTAAAAATAATAGCTAAAATACTTAGTACATATACGCGTATCTTCGTTTTTGTCGTGCGACTATGGGTTTTTTGTTGCTTTTTTTGTTGTTTTTTTTGTTTTTTTTTTGTTTTTTTTGCTTACCTCCGGCAACATACACCACGTTCCTGACGAACCGGGAACACCACTCAGCGAAACTATAGTCGTACGCCAAAAACGTAGGTACGCGTATATGTACTAATTAATACATATCTTTGCTCTGTCTTACCGCATTGAGTACTATTACGTTTACACCTCATGCATAAATTTAACGATTATTTATTTGCTTGCCTGCGTATGCACACCAGCACACATGTATACGCCTGCTTATATTTACCCGTTTCATTTATCCACTCTGACTCTATACATACATATATATATATATATATATATATATATATATATATATATATATAGCATAAACTTTGTGTACTTACAGAACTCAGTGGAAAGGGAGAAATGAAGGAATTCAAATGTAATGTTGTGACGAATATATAATGAACGATATTATTTTGTCTTTACGGAAAAATTATTGAAATCAGTTCCAGTCGACCCCATCTGATTGATGGGGAGTCAAAATTTACATATGTGTCTGTCAAGAAGCTATTTGTTACTTCAACCGCGGTGTAAGAAAATGAGAACCACGCCCTTGCAAAAAAGTTGTTTTTCACTGCTTTTTTTTTTTAAGTAATTCATTTTGGTTTAATCTTGTTCACAATTCATCAAATTAATAGGTTATTCTTTAACGAAACGTGGACATTTTTAATTTCAATTTCAAAAAAATGTTTAAATAAGTAGGCCGTATATGACAGAATATTCGCGACTGCTGCCCTGAATACAAGTTACCATTCGCTATATATATATATATATATAATACCAAATGGTAATTAGTAGAAACAAGGATGATATTAATCCAAAGAGGATATTAATCGAAAGAGGATATTAATCCGAAGAGATCTCAATGTAAGAACTGAGCAATATAATAGTAATAAGTACAGATAATCCTTAAAAATCCATTCTTTGATTCCATTCTAAGTCTCTTCAACTTTATTTGACTTTAATTCTTTCATTTTAATTTTTTCTCTTTCCTCACCCTTCTGTTTTTTTGTTTTTGTTTTTTTTATTTTTTTTATTTTTTGTTTAATTCTCTGTTATCTTTTTGTTATTTTTCTTTTTTTTTCATTACCTATATTTTCATTTTCATTTTTTTCCCACAACTTCAGCGGGAACCTTCGTCCAATTTGTCTCCACTTCGGCATAATATATCTCTGTCGATGTATATATATATATATATATATATATATATATATATATATATATATATATATATAAATACATACAGAGAGAGATAGAGAGAGAGAGAGAAAGAGAGAGAGAAAGAGAGAGAGAGAGAAAGAGAGAGAGAGAGATAGATAGTACAGGTAATCGATCCGTTGGTATATAATCCAGGTGGATCCTAGTAATATTATTTATTAAAACTGATCCACAGAGAGCTCGATGTTTTTTTTTATTTTAACAGAGCATATGTATTTTTTTTTCAGCAAAAGAAAACAAAAATTACCTATTATTGAGGTAATTTTTGTTTTTTTTTTGCATCATATATATATATATATATATATATATATTACACCAAAAAAACAAATATATATATATATATATTACACAAAAAAAAGATTACCTCAACATCCGAATAGACTATTTCAGATTGTCCCTTAATGGCTGACGAAACCTGTTAAGGGACGGTTTGAAATAATCCTCGTAGAGAGAAACCAGTCTGTGTCTGTGAAAAAATCTGTCACTGGAAAAAACTCTTCCAAAAACAAAGAGACACTTGGTCACCAAACCCGGACTATTCCCAACCTTGGACCAAGTGACTCAATACGAAATCAAAAAAAAAAAAAAAAAAGAAACAAACGAAATGGTCTCTTGAAAAGTATCAACAAGTCATTATATCATTCTTCACCGCACTCGAAAATCCAGCAAAGAACATACCAAATATGGAGAACTATGGTAGAAAGTGATATAAGACCTCATGTTGCCAATGTCCGCAATCGTGCGAAACAAAAGCCTCTCAAATGCAGAAATAGGTAAGATAAATTTAGATAAAAGACAAAATACTATAACCCATCACTCAAACTGTAAAGAGATGAAAGTAGAAATAAGTCACATGACAGAGAATGAGGTAAAAACTAAAACAAATATAATACGAAATAATAACCTCCTAGGAAATAAAATCGGAGAATCTACCTGTGACATAACCTGTAGGTTATCCAGACGATATCACCGAAGATGACTCCAACTACATTCAGGTAGAATTCCTTGAAAACAACAAAGGTGAAATCACCAAAGCGAAAATCCATGTCATCCAATTACTCAGCAGAGTAATTCTTACTCAAATATCAGACAAAGACCAGCTTCCAAAGATTCATATGACAAAGTGCAATAAGCACATTGTGCAAATATACAACGCTGCACTGGAAACACTGTTAACGGACAAACCACTGGGAAACATCACAGAAATGAACGACGTTACATGCACAACAGCTTTAGCAGCTACTGGGAAGCTTAGGGTTAAGACAATGAAAACCAATTAACAGACATAGAGTGCCAGTTTGGAAGGCAAAACTGATGCGAGAAATAAAAGAAATCAGATGTGAGTTTTCTATATTAGATGAGCTCATTGGAAACCCAAATATCTCAACCGGCAAATGCAAGGTCAATCGGAAATATAAAATTAAATTACTAAATTAAATTCCATCAATCAAGGAAATACTAAAACAGAAACTTAAATGCGCAGAGAATAAGACGATACGAAAAACGCTGTAGGTTTTAACGCCAAAATAAAATATTCCGAAC